AAATGAAAAGCAGAACTAATATTCACTCAAAATAAAGAAACTAAGTGAAAACTTAGCCCCCTTAGAAACTCCACTAGATTAGACTCTTCAGAGACTTTAAATCCCCTTTGCCAAAAAAATCAGGGCAGATTTTTTGACCTAATCTTTACATTTCACTGATGAATGCTGGGCCCTTTCTCTCTCAGACTGGACAACAATGAACAATTGGTCCATTCGTAAAGACAAAAAATAGCACATTTGGGGCAATCTGTCATTTTCATTTCCTTCTTTACCGTCTCACTTTATTCCCCAAACCACCACGTTACTATCACAGAGAATTGGTACCATTTTTCTGAGGCTAAACCCTAAAAACTGGTCACACACAGGATGGAGTGAGACGGAGTAAGAGTGGTGGCCAACCTGTGTGCTGCAGGAAAAGCTGAGTGTTGTTCCTCTCACCGTTGCGCTGGGGGGGGGCCCGGCCCCCGTGCTGGCCCAGGCCGAACGGGTCCTGGGGGTTCGGGTTCATGGCGCTCGTGTGCAGAGCCGAGTCCGAGTTGGTTCTGCGTGGGAGGAAGAGGAGGAGGAGGAAGAGGAAGAGGAGGAGAGTTAGGCCGGCTCCTCCGGCCCCGTGGACAGAGGCAGAGGGCCCCCGGGGGCCTGGGGGGGCCGTGGGGGGGGCGGTGAGTCACGCGGCGGTCTGCAGGCGGGCGCCGACCTTTTACACGCCCTCACGCCCCCCCCCATCAAACCGCCCCCCCCACGGCGCCCAGCGTAAGCACACAGATAGACTAATCCAGGTGGGGGGGTTCTGGACCCATCAGGAAAAATCTCTATTTTTAGCCTTAGAATAAATCTCTGAAAGGTTTTTCTTGAAGGGAAAATGGCGCCCACTCGCTTTTTTAAAAAAAAGATGGTTTCCGAGCATTTTGCTGCTCGTTTGTCTTCCTTTTGCGACTCCTCACCCACCTCTAACTCTATTTTATTCATTCCATCTTTATTTGATTCATTTATGATGTTTTTAATTATGATGTTTTTATGACTGTATGTTTTCTTATGTTTTAAGGATGATCGTCTTTGTAAAGTGTCCTTGAGTGGCATGAAAGGTGCTTTTAAAAAATATATTGTATTATTATCATTCAATTTATTATTATTATCATTATTATTATTGACCTCATCTGATAGACTAAAAGTATTCAACCCTTCAATGTCTCATTCAAACTGAGCTGATGTATAATTAATTACAGCTTATAAGAGTCTTTAGGGGACATTGTGTTGCTTTTCTTTTAACATAATTTTCCTTTTTCTTTAAAAAAAATGTTCGCATACAGGAGTAAGTTTAAAAGAGGCCGATTTATTTAGGTGGGAAATAACTGTATTGACGTTTCACCTAAAACAAAACCATTTTCTGTCAGTTTTTATGTATTTTGAGTCACTTTTTAAGCATTAATGGTTTTGTTCTCATGTGTTCATAATTAATTCATAATTATTAAAGTCGGGCATTGTCTGAGTCAAACTCATTGGAATAGTTTGGATTATAATCGGCTGTTCTCAGTCTGTGCTGTTCCCATGAATAATCAAAATAAATAAATCAAATGTATTTGTTTGAGAGAGCAAAAACACATCAGAAACTTCTAAAATATGTTTGTAGAATCATTTTAAATGAAAAGCAGAACTAATATTCACTCAAATTAAAGAAACCAAGCGTAAACTGGAGTGCATTTATGAGCTGGAAACACAAAGTGGACGTCCATAAAAAGGCAAAAGTATAGCAGGAACACTTCTAAACACAATCAAATCCTATCGGAGGGGGTTAAAAGGTCTGAAAATAAGAATATGTGAGTCAGGAGCCGTTGATGTTAGTCTGAACGTGAGCCAAAAGGTCCTGAAGCCGGGTTAGAGAACAGAGACGGTGTGGATCTCAGAGCTCCAGCCAGACGAAGGAGTTAGTGCATAAAGAAGGAGGAACCAGAGCTGAAGGAGGCCAGGAGATGCTGAAGGCCCAAGAGGGGGGGGGGAGCGGGGGGGGGTCAAGGGTCACCTGTTGAGTTGCGATATTAATCTAAACCCAGGCCGCTTTTCCTCAGTCCATGGATGTTGTTCCCTTCAGAGACAGAGGAAAAGCAGGACAGAGACAGTTACTGGGGAAAGCCACAGGGCCCCCCCGGAGCCCCCCCCCCCCATAAGGTGTGTGGAGAAAATAACCTGCAAAGAAAAGATACAACCTGCCTTACAGGCACATGGTTAAAGAAAATAAACAACCAGAGAAAAGAAAGCCTGGAACAAGACGCCAAACACGGGACGACGCCATTTTGTATCCGAGAGAAGAGAAGAAGTCCATCCATCCATTATCATAACCCCTTATCGCCTAATGGGGTCTCAGGGGGGCGGAGTCTATCCCAGTAGCCAATGGGGAGAGGCGGGGTCAC